TTCCGATCTGCTTCCACAGGACATATATATATATATATATATGAATGTTTCTGTTCAGTGCCCCAAGACGATTTCTGTTGTGACTCAGTACAGATAAAACTGACCATTAGAGCCATTTGTGTGTTTTCTAAGTTGGCTGACTGTGCTGTGGCAGCCATCTTAAATTAGGTTCACTCCAAGAGTTAATCAGTTTAGATGTCCGGTGCATGAAATGACTAAAAGTTGAAATGAAACTCACTCAGAGGTTCATGAGATGTTGTGGTACCAGATGGGCAGACAAACACACCCTTTGCTTCAAACTTCTTCCGACGGAGAAACGTGTCGTTTTCTGAAAGTTCTCAATACAAACTTTGAAATTAAAGATAAAAAAAACGTTTCCCTGAACTACATCAAATGGTGCAGTTGTTTTCCAAATATATTAACGTGCAATTCTGAAATGCAGGTACGCACTCAATGTAAACAAAGCACTTTTCTCTTCTACTCCGAGCGTAAATACACACCAGTACATTAAAACTGTCAGACATCTCAATTCCAAACAGTTCTTCCATGAAAGTCGTCACCGTTGACCCATGTTTAGTCACTTTGGCCGTTTCATTAAACACATTTTGCTTACAAATATTTAATTTAGGGACAAATTAACCATGGATATAAGAAGAAATGTGGGGAAAATGGTAGTGGAAAAAAAACAGTTTGCTGGTTATACAAATTGGTTGGTCCACTATGTGGTTGTGCTGTTTGTTGGACTCACTTTGTTTGTGGCTCCTCGGACTGATGAAGTCCTTTGAATGAAACGTCTCAGCAAAAAAGAAACTGTCCAGATAACCTGACTGAACATTGTAAGAATATTTATGTTTTTGGCAAAACCACATTAAACAGCAAATAAGACCTGAGTGATGTTTAAATCAAGCTCCCAGTCCTCATGAGATGATTTTATTTAAAGATTAAATGTTAGGACAAAAACAAAGAGGTTTTACTGAACTAAACAAGTCCAGACATGTGGTCTGAGTCATAACAGGAGTTTTAATCACATGACCCTTCTGACTCTATTTATTTTATTTAACCTTTTATTTTTTATACAGGTAGTCTCATGAGTCACGAGGACTCGTTTTCAAGACAGACCTGTTTGGTAGTGATGCTCAGTACTAAAATACTGATACTATTGATACTAACTTTGTGCTCTAGAATCGATTCTTAAATCAAACTATTGATACTTTTGATAATTCCGTCATTTCAGGTAATGCCTATCCTTAACAGGAAGAAGGTGGAAAGTAACTAAACTATTGAGATCTTGTCTAAATGATACGCGGTTGGTGGGAACTACTTTTTCTTCCGCCTGTGTAAGTGCGTAATTCGTGTAAATTGAATGGCACGCAGCTCAGCCTCTCAGTCTGTAAACACAACGGTAGAGAACTTCTTCAGATGGAAAAAAAAAAATGTGTAATTTTCTCGTTCTCATTACAAAGGTTGAAATTAAAGATAAAAAAAAATTGTTTCCCTGAACTGCATCAAATGGTGCAGCTGTTTTCCAAATATATTCATGTGTAAGTCTGAAATGCAGGTACGCACTCAATGTAAACAAAGTACTTTTATCTTCACACTCTGAACGTAAATACACAACGGTACATTAAAACTGTCTGACGTTAAAACAGATTTTGCTTACAGATATTTAATTTAGGAACACATTAACCATGGATATGAGAAGAAATGTGCAGATTTTGCTTTCTGCCAAAAGATTTTCTTCACTTGTTTTCATGACATTGCAATGCGAACTTTTAAAACTACAAGAATATTTATCAAAGTTCATAATCAGTAATCAAGGTAAAAATCCAACAATGTTCCACCAGGTCATATGGACGGTTTCTTTTTTGCTGAGATGTTTCGTCCTTCATCCAAAGGACTTCATCAGTCCAAGGAGCCACAAACAAACAAGAGTCCCACAAGCAGCACTCTCTCATAGTGGGAAAAAACAACAGTTTGCTGGTGTTGGTTTGCTCCACTATGTGGGTGTGCTGCTTGTTGGATTCAGTTTGGGTTGTGGCTCCTCAGACTGATGAAGTCCTTTGGATGAAGGACGAAACATCTCAGCAAAAAAATAAATAAACTGTCCACTTGACCTGACTGAACAATGTAAGAATATTTTTGTTTTGGGCAAAACCACAACGTTAAACACCAAATGAGACTCGAGTGATGTTTAAATCAAGCTCCCAGTCCTCATGAGATAATTTTATTTAAAGATTAAATGTTAGGACAAACACAAAGAGGTTTTACTGAACTAAACAAGTCCAGACATGTGGTCTGAGTCATAACAGTTCTATCACATGACCCCCTCTGACTCAGTATTTATTTAATGTAACCTTTTATTTTTTATACAGGTAATCTCATGAGTCACGAGGACTCTTTTTCAAGACAGACCTGTTTGGGAGCAGATGGGGGGGGGGAGGGGGTTAAAGGCCTTGCTCAAGGGCCCAGAGAGAAGCAAATGGTGGTGGAGGCAGGTGTGGATGCTTCACCTTTTCCACTCACATTTTGATGTTGTCGGTCCAGGGAGTCGAACAGACAACGTTCCCATCACAGGCCCGCCTTCTCTAACCTCTGCACCACCGCTCCCATACATCATTTGAACAGAACGGAATAAACGAGCGTCTCCATCACGTGCCTGCTGCTGCACAGACACACGATGATGGACACGTTGTGTCACCTTATGATGGTGATCTGGAAGTCCTCCTCGGCCAGGTTCTTCCAGGCTCCGTGCAGGAACTCCCTGCACCACAGGTACGCCTTGCGCCGGGTGTCCGAGTCCGGCTGGTCGGGGCGGACCAGCTCCTTCCTCCTGCAGTCCTCCTGGGTGTCGGGCTGGACCTGAAGGGCGTTCTCAGTCACTAGGAGGCCCAGCGACATGGAGGGCGACGACGAAACTCCGTTGATGAATTTGGCTTTCATCTTTTTAAAGGTTGTTTAAAACAAACGAAGAAGAAGAAAACAAAACGTTGTCCAAACGGTTCTGGGTTGTGTCGAAGGATGGTTTACTTCGGTTGATTTTTTTTTTAATGGAGTATGGAGATTTTTCTTTATTACTAGTTCTAGTTCCGTTTTAGATTCGTATCAAACGCAAATATCGACAACGAGCGACAGAGAAGCCTCCAAATGTAAAGAATGAATCGAGGCTCAGAGATGCGCAGAGTATAATCAAAATGGGCGGGACGCGAAGCGGAAAAGAGTGGCCACGCCTCCCCCCTTCTCTGATTGGCTGATTAAATCCGGATACGCGAAGGACCGCCAACAAATATTGTGATGCCTTCATGGACTACAAGATAAATAAAGATCTGGCGAAATGTTGCTCCAAACATCCAGGTCGAGTTAAACTCATTTTCACTAATACACACAAATAAATTTAATTAAAGCAAATTCAGAGACATCAAATAAGAACACAAATCTTATTGAATAGATTAGACAAAAAAATACTTAAACTAGAAGAAATAAATGTAAAAAACAGAAAAGGAAAAACGGACAGGATTACCAAATACAGTATAAATTATATTGTTCATAAGACAAGTATTAAATGAATCAGAGTGGACGCAAAAGCATTTGAGAAACGAAAATAAATTTAAAAAATCGACGTTTAATTATTATTCTTATTATTATTTTATTTTGTTTTTTTTACTGGAAATGTTTTTTGTTGACTGGAAATGTACGGGCCTGACAATCGTCTGACTTTTAGATGATGCAGTAAACGCAACATCTGTCACATTGCTTCCTCGTCCGTCACGTAGCCTGAAAAGCTCACCAGCTAATCTCCCAACATCAGAGCCAAGGTGTTAATATCTGCAAAACGACATGAAGCAAGCGATAAGAGGACAGTTTTAACATTATTTTGTGTGCAGAGATTTGATATGTGTGGATTTATTTTTGGTTCATTTGAGCCGAGATGCAGATCATTTAATTATAAACATTTGTTGAAAAATAAAAGACGCTTCAGTCATTGTAACTCGAGTGTTGGAGAAAAAGGTTGTGACATGCTTTTTCTTATAATGTATATCTTTTCATTTTATTAAAGAAAAATATATCATAATAAGTAGAATATAAACGGGATAAATTATTAAAATTAAAACCAATTAACCTAAGGTAGCATATTTAACTTTTAACGACAGAAATTCATTCAAACTTAAAGTTTCTATTGATCTAAATTTGTACTGACCTGAAGATTTTGTTTCCATTTAATTCTAAGTAAAGTTCCAGCAGCTTGAGAATATAAATTCATTAATCATTCATTCATACATTCAGCCTTTATTAGTCTCGAGTCCCAAGGACTCATTTTCAAGAGAGTTAAAGAGAAGAGAATAATAATAATTTTATAAGAGAATAAAATAAAAAAAAGTAGTGTTATAAACAATAAAATCAAGGTCCCTCAAGGTAAAATACTAAAAACAAGAACATTTACTTTGATTTTTCTAATGATCGTATAATTGTTTAAAATCCCCTAAAGACATCAAAGTAGACAACTTCCGATGTTTTTGCAAGGTGTTTCAGGTTATAGGAGAGAGTAAGAAAGGCATTTTGCCGAGTTTTTTCATTCAACCTTTATTTATACAGATAAATCACATTGAGCCTTGAGGACTCATTTACAAGTGAGACCTGTTTTGAGTTTAGTCTGCACTGAGGGGACTCTGCAGGTAACAATGGTAATCATGGCCCAATTACATCCTGCAGGTTTAGCTGTGTTTGAAATTACGAATAAATAAATGAACAGACTGCTTGCTGCCTTTCAAATGAGTACAACTCTCTTCATACAAACAAAGGAGACGCGCTTTCTTTATTTACCCACTAGAGGGCGCCAATTCTCCGTGTGAAACCCGCGACTCGGTGAGCGCACTTTGATGACATCATCAACCAGCCATAACAAAAACAACAACAGAATTCATCTGTTTAACGCTAACTAGCCGGCCTAGTTAGTCAGAACTTGTCTTTACATTTTCTTTTCAATCTGTTTTATTCTTTCTGTTGATTTAACAATTCTTATAACATTATCCAGATAGACATTATGTTCTTTAAAATTTAAAACTTGTGCTGTAGTTGGCTTTGGATTTTTTAAAATTATTTTTAGTTGTTAGCCTGCTAGCTTTTAAACGGAGTTAAAGACGAACCGCTGAATAAAGGTAACTATTTGAGTTTATATTTATTTTAGCGCAACAAACGTGCACTTGCACGTGCACCCTTTGATCTGCATAAGTTTAAAATAAATTGGAGGCTGATGAGTGGGAGGCAAATAATAACGGAGGTGCTGTCAAAAGACTTCTGAACAATCTTTGTCAATACAAGCAAAATGGTTGTCAATTAACTGATGCGTGAAGATGGGAATGTCAGATTTACGTTTAACTATCCCGAGCATGTCATTTCTTCAATTAAATTCGTAATTCTTTATAAAAACAACGACCTTTTTAACGATGCATGGATTCAAATTAGTCTATTTGTCTGAATCTGACACATTACACGATTTACTTATGTTGTATAGTACTTATAATTGGTTAACCTAATCTAAACATCATTCGCCCTCTTTAAAATAAATAAACCTATCTTAAAAACATGTAAGTGGGTTGTAAAGTTAACTTTTTATACTGCAGATTGGTTTGTAGGATGGCTGGATCATATGTTTCTAACACTGTACTTGTTATTGGATGTATTCTTTCTGCAGTGATCAGGGCATACCAAAAGTGGTCCAAAACTGGACCAGGGACAGGGTGAAGACTGGCCTGTATTGTCTCATCCAATATGTTTTCCCTGTATTTTTGTAGTTAATAGCTTAAAAATAAAGGATTGTTTTATTGACTTTCCACAGCTAAATCAGGTGGAATGCAGCATTTACTGTTATTACTCAAGAGATGAAATCCTGCATTACACAAAGAGTTTTAGTCTCACAGTAAGTCTCTTTTTTGCATGACGCTGGTTAATTCATGTCAGGTGTTGGAAATTTCCACTTCAGACTCATATTTCCAACAGAAAGCCTAATGCGTACTTTGTGCAAGAAATTTGCAATCAGTTACGCCAGTGAAAATGCACAGTTGTGATCAAAATGCAGTTAGTTTCAGTCTGCTTACTTTTATTATCTTTGTGGTTTCGCAGGGCAGAAATATTTATGGCAAAGCCAGATCACAAGACCTCCGTGTGGAGACTCTGACTTCCACCGGTGACCACGAGCATTTCATCATTTTTCAGAATGTCACCACAGAAAAGACCTCTTGTCTCGATGAGCAGTCGGCGGAAAGCAGCTGAAGACTACTTCCCTTTCAACTCCCTCCCGGTGGAGTGCCAGCTGCACGTCTTGTCCTTCTTGAATGAGGTAGATAAATGCAACTGTGCTCTGGTTTGCCTGAGCTGGAGCTGCCTTGTCCGATCGTGGAAGCTGTGGCGAGTTGCAGACTATTCTCGTCGTGGCGTCTTTCATCTTGGTCAGGAGGGGCTGCTAGTCTCTAACCGTGAGTTCGAGAGATGGAAGTCCTGGGTCCACCACTACACGCACCACCTGATCTCCCGCCGGGCCAGCCTGCTCACACTGAAGGCTAGCTTCGACCTCGGGGATCGCTGCAACAAGTGGAGTGAGCTGTTGAGCCACTTGCTAAATAATGTCCACTGCAGAGACCTCAGTCACCTGGATCTCAACTGGACCTTTACCCTCTTTGAGCCTCTGGACCTCAGAGTCCACTCCAGCTCCAGTTCGCACCAGGACAGCATAACCAAAATGGATCAGGTATTTTGTTTATGCACAAATCTGTACAGAGCTGCAGCTTTAATTGATGATGTTTAATCTTGTCACCGTGATTTGTGTGGTCAATCTGAAGTTTAATTTTTTATTATTTTCTACATTGTGGGTAAAATTAAAGTTTTCAAATAATAGTTTTGTTTATGAACGAGGGAAGAATAGAGGAGAGAGTGAGATTGACAAACGGCTCGGACAGATTCTCTTAGCTGGCCTGGGAACGATGGATGGATGGATGGATGGATGGAAAGAAGGAAGGAAAGAAAGGTGCTTAAGATATTGATAGTAATATACAAAGTTGTCTTCAAAGCAAGCACTGGCTGTATTGTAGTATCTAAAGTGATTCATAAACAACTTTGTTTACTTCTGAAGGTACCATCTCACTGGGCTGCGACTAGTTGGTGATTGGCACCAACCAGGGAGTCTCCGGAACGTCACCAAACGTTTCTGGTGGTTTTGTTGCTGGAGTTCTGAACTTTTTCAAATAGTTTGTGCAACATTTTTTCTTCAGAATGGCCAGAATTTTGAGAAATATTCTGTTTCTCTTATCCACCTGAGTTTTGTTGTGGGTGTCTCCAACCTTTCTCGAGCACTAAAAGCTGTGTTTTGACATCTGCAAAAGTGCTTTTCACTAAAAGAAAACATTTGAGTGTATTTCAGCAGATTAAATGGTAAATGTTGGGGCAGCAGCCAAAATGGGTGTGATGTGAGGACAAAGGAAAACAATGTGAGTCAAACGTGCAGTTTTGCCAGCCTTGTATGCAAAATTAGATCATGATTTGCAAAAACTGGCTGTTTAAAATGCAGCTGCGTGGGTTGCTTGGTGCAACACACTCAGACTTCAGTGAAGCTACAACAGAAAATGTGTCTTCATCACAATTCTGAGTCACCAACTAGCTTCCAACTGTCCCAGTTAATGTTAGGATTTCCCCAAGCAAACTGATAAAATACTTGTCAAGTCAGAAGTGGTTTAGTTTTAAAGTTAGCAAGACAACATTTCACAAAATGCAAAATTTAGTGTCGTGACTTTTTGTGTGATACGGATGAGAACATATAACTTATAAGCAACATAATCATATCTAGTTTTATAAGCACCATCATTTTATTTACCTATAGTAGAGCCATTTGGAGGGAATGTGGTGGATCTGTCATGCTGTGTGATGAAAGGCTTACTGGAAATCAAACCTTTTACCGTAAAGTGGAAAATAGGACCGAGATGGTGTAGGGGCAGGGCAGCTGACTCGGGACCCCAAGGTCCTGGGTTCGATCCCCGGTCATTGCACATCTCGTGGTGTCTCTGAGCAGGACACCTAATCCCAAATTGCTCCTTGGGCGCTTACATAGCTGCCCACTGCACCACCTGGGTGTATCCCAGGTGCGATGGGTTAAATGCAGTGAGTCAATTTCGTCTTTGTATGGGAACATAAAATGATGACAACACATAGCACTTTATTTTATTATTATGATTAAAATTTGTGACAAATGTGTTAGATGACTCTGTCTACTGCCATCACCAAACATGAGGGAAGATCTTATGGAAGAAAGGTGCTCCATCCCTCCAAAGAAACAGGTTTCAGACACAGAATCATTTGTAATGTTCTGTGGGGATACTGGCAGAAAATGGTAGCTCAACATCTTACAAGTAAGCTGAACTGATCAGTTACATCTGAGTGTGAGAGTCCAGGACAAATCTAGTGTTGTGTAATCTGATTTTTGAATTGTTTTGACTGTTTCTTTGCTGTAGCTCCCATTGGCTGGGATTTAAACATTAAATCATCTCAGATGGATGTTATGGAACAAACGGCACCGATTTGCTCCTAAAAAGATGCAACTGATTAGTCTAGAAATCTGCAATGAGGCTTTAAATCACAATTTTTCTTTGCCACTTGTATTTATCAGAAACTATGGCTCACCACAGCCTTTAGAATAATCTAATCCTACATTTCTCTGCTGTAACAACTCATATGTTCATCTTTTAAAAGCAGATACGTCAATTGTTTTGTCAGTGTTTGGCCCTTAATTATTCTCAGGATTCAGAGACGGCATCTTCACAGACGAGATACAAAAAAATAAATCAATAAAATTGTTCCAGTCATCCTAAAGTGTCGCTGTCTTCTCTCTCGTTCGGCAGGTGGCCAGCTTCCAGGAGCTGCTGAGCAAACTCACCCACAGCTGCCCGCGGATCTCCAAGATGCGCTTACATTTTGACTGGTCAGATTTGTCAGTGTCGCTGCTCACCCAGTTCCAGCAGCTGCGAACCCTCGAGCTGAAATATTTCTGGGTCTTTAAGCTAGTGACTCCGTCGACGCTGCAGACGCTGACCAAATCCCTCCCCAACCTGAAGTCTCTAACTTTACACATCATGGTGCCGTTGAGGAACCTCGGCATCTCCTACACACTGGAGTCTAAGAGTCTGGAGTTCCTGGACGTGTCGCCCAGCCGAGGCTTGGTCTTCTCCTGCCTGAAGCTGCCAGCTCTGCGGGAGCTTCGGGCTAAGAAGATCGGTCGCGGCATTACGCTGGACCGGAAGACCAGGCTGCGCATCCAGAGCCGGTGGCCCTGCCTGTACCACGTCCTCTGGAAGGGGACACCAAAGCTTCAGGCCCTAAACAACGAGAGGCTCCTTCCTTCATGGAGAGAGACCTGCTACAGGGAGCTGTCTGCCATCCTGGAACAGTCCTGCTACTGTGTTCAGCATCTAGACAGCTGGCTTTGGTAGTCAGCTGACAATAAATGACCATCTGCTCTGGTGGCTAAATTCCAGAAAATGAAGGCAAGTTATTGCTTTTTAACACTTTGATTTTATTAAACCGATTCCTCGAAAGAACACAATAAGCAGCTCATAGTTGCAGATAAAAACTGAGATTTGGCTGCTGGCACAGTCTGGTTCCTTGTCAGGAATCTGCTGTTACTGTGGCACAGCCCTAAAGAACTTACTTTTTCTGCAAGAAATGAAGGTGCTTCTCTGGCCTGGAAACATTTGGTCTACATGAACCTAATGTCCACTTTACACACTGTAAAGAATAATCTTTAGGTGTTTCAAGTCCTTTCCATCTGAGCAAATTTAGTCAAAAACATGAGAATGAAGGCAAAGTATTTTCAGAATGCTGTTATTTTTTCAACAGATAGAACAAGCAGCGCCCGGAGAATTCCTTAATTAATGAGAATTAATTTAATTAACGGGTTGATTACATTTTGTGGAAGCTTACATTTATTTCATATAAGTTTAACGTTTATTTATTTTTTTGATTTTTTTTTTAACCTATTTTCAGTCACTTCGTTTGTTTAACAAATAGTTGGCATCTGGTCAAAAATTCTTACACATTTTTGTTAATACGAGAAAAAAAAAACAATAATTCAGATTTTGTTTCTGTATTATTTTTTGTTTTGTTTTGTTTGGTCTTCATGACTTTGCAACGAGCATCTTTAAAGTGAATTAGTTTTAAACTTTCAAAGATATCCCTCATATCTTTGACTCCTAACGAGAGTGTTTCTGCCTTGTTGTTGAGCTACACTCCCAACAAAATAAACTATTAAAAGTTTGTTATTTTTAAATATTGGTTCTTAATTCTAACAAAAAAATGCAGAAAAAAATGGACACAAGTTGTTTTCATTCCTTAAATTTCCCTGTCAAAATAGAAACTGTAAATTAATTGTTGCTAATTTATTACAACGTCAACCTTAACACATTTAAAGTATGTTTTTTTTTAATCTCACAATTATAATTTTTCCTTAACTCTTTAATCCTCTGCCTTTTGTTGCATCTATAATTTGAAATGTAACATTTAATTCCTAAAATATTTTGCCTTTCTTCTCTGTGTCAGATTACGTGGACAAACGCATCTCCTCTTTGGAAAACGTCATGCACTGTAATGTGAATTGAACTGATTTTATATGATTAATCACTTGATTTCAGTTGTATTTATTGTCAGAGACAAACAACTGCTGTTTCTACGTGATGACGAAACTGTAGGAAATTTTAGAAATTTGCACAAACGCCACGAGGATCAGAATAAATACTCCAACCTGAACATTCCGGTAGAAAATATGAACAAGAAAGATATTTAAGAAAAACTGAAGCTGCACTTTGAAAATCAGCTGAAAGCTAAAGCTGTAGCCGTGTTTCTGCATCCAGGCCTTCGGTGTTAAGCTGGTTTAACTCCAATCGCAGCCGGCCTGGAATTCCAAAATAAGAGTTAATTCTTGTGCTGAGCCACATTTTTCAAATCGAAGGTGCTCCTCGTAGTTAGTTTGGTTTTATTTTCTCTGAGCCACTGAAGTTTTGAAATATTTGACGTGTTCACGTTGATGTGAAGCAATCCTGCAGCTTTTGGTGAACTCTTTGCACATTTCTGTTGCTGTTGTTTGTTGTTCAAATCTCTGCAGCTTGAGAGTGAGTTCCAGTTTGTTTCACTATAGTAGAACCAGTGGTTCCCAACCGTGGTCCCTGAGGAACACCATCCTGCACGTTTTAGTTGTTTCTCTGCTCCAACACACCTGTTTCAGTGATTTAATTACTTCATTTCTGGAGAAGCCTGTTTAATCACCTGTTCATTCAAATCAGGTGTGTTGGAGCAGAGAAGCTACTAAACCATGCAGGATGGTGTTCCACTAGGACATGTGTTGGGAACCTCTGAATTCTGTGCTTTGCAGTTATTGTCCTGATCAGCAGATGTCCCTGTTTTCTAAGATTTGGTTTCTCTCAGGCACAGACTGACTGACGGATGTTTTTGTGTATTTAAATGTGTGGGAGAGTCGCCTGATATTTTTGTATCTGCTGTGTTGTAATCAGGCTTCCGTGTTTGCCGTGCACGCTGTTGTCACTTAAGATTTATAGGATTATTTGACTGACAACTAATTTCCTGTTTCTAAGCTTTAATGCCTCTGACACACGAGCAGGACGCACTGACAAACCGTTGTAACTTCTGGTCCTCTTGGTTCTCATAATAAAATGATTGACCATTTGAACTTTTTTCTTTTTATTGTGAGCTCCAGAGAATTACAGCATTTTTAGGTTTTATCTTTTCTTTTTTTTTTTCTTTGGAGAACATCCAAAGAGATGTGCGAACCACAAAAATGTTCTCAAACGTTGTGAAATCCCTTAACGGCCTGTAAATCAAACCAGAAATGCTTCTCCACCTGAGCCCAGCCCCACTGCAACATTTACTTTAAAAACAGCCAACTCCTTCTCCTCTTTTCCAGTTTGCCCATCTGCATCCCTGCATCTCTGCTCTTGAAGCGAGGAATGTGAGCTCACGATGATAGTCCTGGTTCCTTTCCAGCCAATTCAGTGATTCTCATTGTTTAGTTTTTTTTCTCCACCTCTTTCGCCCAGCCCCTTCAGCAGTCCTCCTCTCTTATACCTCTAGTTTGCTTGGAGTTTGTCAAACTTGCAGGGTCTGTGTGTGGATGCAAATCTATAGGCACCCCCAGCTGCATCAAGGACTACCTGTGGATGCCAAGGATTTCGGAGAGGCTGGCAGCTTCAGTCAGATGTGGTATCTTGTGGAATGACAAACTTTTCATTCTAATTGTGCACTGAGTTTATAAATGGGAGATACGCGGAAGAGTGTGATGGGTTGGACAGCAGAGCATGAAGATTAAACATTCCCTGAGGTTTAGCTAACCTCTGAATTAGTGGCAAGGACCAAGAAACCACCTCCAGATGTGTGAGAGCGCTGCCTATCTACAATAAACGTCACCCTCTTCACACTTCAACACTTACTCTTTGCTCCTTTGGCAGTGCCCGAGTTAATACTTAATCCAAGTACGGACCTATAATTGCTCAGGCCAAGCCCTGTTTAAGAGGGAGAGGTAACGTGGATGTCTGCAGTTCACAGGCAGATTCGTGCCGAGGATCATCTCCAGCCATCCCTTCGGTGCTGACCAAAGGAAGCTGCCACGATGCCACGAAAAGTCGTCTTGTCCAAGGGTTTCGCCGTTGCCTTTGCGGTCCTGACGGTCTCTGCCATCGCCGGCATGATCACCATGCTAACCGTGTACAAGATCGAGATCGGTAATATGAATGTGACGCGTCCTCCAACCGTCCCGTCCACCACTATGGCTCCACCGCCGGTTATGAGGCTGCCGAGGAACCTGATACCAGAAAGCTACAAAATCTTCATCCAGCCTCACATCTACACCAGAATCGTGGAGGTGGTGAACGTCACAACCCCCAACCAAACGCTGCTTTTCACCGGAAACTCCACCGTCAACTTGTACTGTGTCCAAGGAACAAGGCGCATCTACCTCCACAGCCGGGACCTGGTTGTCTCAAGCCCGATTGTGACCAACAGAAACACGGGCGAGACCATTGGCATTGCCACCTTTACGCCCTTCGCAGATGAAAAAGACTTCTTGGAGATTGAGTTGGAAGAAAATTTACGAGCAGGAGGGAACTACAGCTTGTTTCTGGCTTTCCAGGGAGACATATCAGAAAATCTTGAAACACTTTATTTAAGCAAATACACTGAAGTTGACCGCGATTCAGAAAACGAAACGATCGCCGAGAGGTAAGTAAAAGATCTGATGTAATCCTTGAAACTTTTTCCACTATAAGGTGCTCACTGAAAGTGAAAGAACTTTGTCTTCCTTATAGAAGAACTTAAAAAAATTGTTACAAAAAAGTATTAACTTTTGAAAAAACACAAAAGTAGGATTTATTTTACTCCCAAAATGATACTTCTCTAATGTAAAGAAGGTTTTGGAAAGCTTAAAATGATCTATTATGTACATTTTTGACATATTTGACCTTTTCTTACTTCACAGGAAGCTAAAACTTCTATGTATGCAATGATCTTTTATTTTATGACTTGGTCACATGCAACAGCAAATGTGATAAAAACCATCAAGTCTCTTCAAAAAGACAACATTTTAGACAGACAATCTTTTCATGTTCACTATTATAATATCAATAAGTTTAACTCTTTGGACTTTGAAAATTATCAAATGTGCTGTGATCTAAGTGTCGTTTCTAGTTTTTTTTTTTAGGGTTTTAAATGGACTTGCTCTTCCACCTTTAAACTCTTTTATCTAGAAGTACAAAACCTGAATAAGCACCAGATCTCAGACTGGAGGGGACTGTGTCGTAACGAGACGGAGAACAGAATTTGTGTGAAAAGTGACGTCAATTAGAGGAAATCGTTTATAAAACCATGTAGAAGAATACATCAGACTGATGTTTATTCTGGTTTTTAAAAGAACCTTAAACTTTGTCTCAAACACAATTAGTCATGTACTCATTAATGAAAGAGGGTTATTTTAACTAACTGTGTCTAAGAAGACAATGAGCTGACAGCAATTTTAGTTTTTCAAAATAAAAGCATGAATTGGCATCAGGTTGATGAAAATGACACATACACCAAATTAGATTTTTAAAGCATTGTTTAATCCGTGCATGTTAAAGGGAATAATAAAATCCAGTTGAGATGTTTTTGTTTTGTCTAAGTCAAGTAATCACGTCGTTTAATTAAATAAAAAAGTAAAGGGATACATAGAAATATTCAAATTATTTACACTAAAATCAATTATTGTGACAGTATGAGACAATAAACCTTTAAGTAATAAAGTAATAAAAAAGTAACTGTTGCATCTATACATTTTTTTAAAGTTATTTTTAACTTACCTTATTTGGGTCATTTGTGGGCATATTCCTTACAGTTTTTAGTTTATTAAACATTAAATCAACATTGATGAAGAAGAAGAATTCCATAAAATCAAATATTGTCAAAACAAAATCCTACTCATGTATCCAAGAAAATATTTGTATGTTTCTTTCCACCAAGTGCAGTTTAAATTTTTGTAATAAACAATAAAATTATAAAGCATTTAATCTTGTTTGATTGGGCTGTTTTACATGCTGCCCATTTATTTATTTATTTATTTGTACTTTGTTGAAATGTCTGTATGGATCCTCTGACTTTATGTCTGGAGGTTTTGACTTGTCTTTTTGCTTTTTGTTTAAACTCATAGCTTTAACAAACAATATAAAAATATATAAATATAAATATATATATATATATATATATATAAGTAAATATTTATATATTTATTGACCCCAATAGCATTTTAAATTT